ACAACAACATAAGAAAAAGAACTTTAGATTCAACTGAAGGGCACAAAAGAATTGCTGCTAAAACCCTGTGATATAAGATACAGAAGAGAGAGGCAAAAAAGGACAATTGAGTTATTCACCTGAACAACCCACACACATTTTGCGACACACCCACTTCCGTTCTCACGGAAAGGGAACACGCTTTTCTTTTTTCATTTATACTATTAAATAATCACTTTCTTCACTTCCAGCATGCGGGGGGAGGGTGCAATTCAGCCATACATTACCTTTGATCAAAGTTGCTTTTTTTTTATTATATATATTTTTTCCTTGACCACTAAATCTCGTCCTTTGACAACTGCGAGTTCGTCTCACCCACTCACTTTCAATTCGGTCAAATAAATTGTAATAATAAAATTAATAAAATGATAGAATAAATTCAATTTTTTTCTGCATTTTCTTTAGTTAGGTGACAGAAAATCTATCAAATAAATATGATCATTATCAGTTTCAGAAAGGAAATTGCTATATTCAATAGTTAGATTCATTAAGATATAAAATTAAATAATAAAAAACCAATTTTTTCTTCCTTGCTATTGCAACTACTTTCTTGAATTGTGAGTTTTTTGGGTTTTTTTAAATGAGAAATTTTTCTCTTTTCCGCTCTCAGATCTGTTAAATTTTGTGACCACATCCAAGAAAGGACAGTATGTTTCTGATAAGGTTGGATTTATTTAAAAGAAAAAGTTTGTCTCTTCTCAATAATGCAAATTGCAAAGCAAATGTAACAAAAAAAACTAATGTTGTCTTCTTCATTGCAATAATTTGTGACAATTTTTTTTATTGAACCATTTTCTATGGCGTTTAGCAGCATTAACAAACATCAAAAACAAAAAAATATAATCAAATTGATTGACACAGGTAAAAAAAAAAAAAAATGTCTTATTAAAAGTTTCGAGTTTTCACTCAGTGACAATTCGTCAGAAGTATTCTTTTAAAAGTGAAATTTTACATTTTCTCACTCCCCCTCCTGCCAAGAGATTTTCAAACTTGCCGATATTCTACAGCAGTTACTGGAAATATCTTTGAATAAATTTGGCGAAGATCGACTCGATAAATAGAACAAAAATTGAGGAAGGAAAAGAAGCCTCTCTAATCTAAAAACAGCCAGTAAAACAGATTTCACGATGCAACAGAAAATTGAAAAAAAAAAAAAAAAAAAAAAAAGAAAAGAGGCTTGACTTTGCCGTCGCATTAGCCACCCCTACAAGAACAGGTCACACCAACATTACAGAGTATCAGGGCCACAATTATTGCCAATAATTTAACAATACGACCTTAGGCCAGTAGAAACAGAAACATCAAAAAGTCATTAACAAAAACTTTTTACGTTGTTATATGTATTGCAAGTAAATTCAACTGACACCAGAAGCAGAGTTTTAAAAAAAGATTCTTCAAACATTTCATCAATGGAAAACTGAATTTTTAGCAGTCAAAAAATTTATGTAATTGAATTTTTGTATAAATTCACTTTAAGAATGGAAATTTAAAACTTGATGTAATCCGATTTCACTACAGTATGCAACGCATTTTAAAGGTAGAGAGGTGCTATGAAATTTTGATTATTTAAAAAAAAAAAACTAATAAAGTTGGGCAAGAAGAATTAAAAAAATGAATTCAGAAAGAAAGAAACATGAAGTAAAACTGTAACATGCATAAAATATTTCTTCAATCAATGGTTTTGATTGAAAAAGAATAAATTGATATTTTTTGTTCTCCCATTTTCTAAAGATTTCGACTTAAAATCAAAAGACGATGGAAGCGGTTGTTGGTGCTTAAAATATTGTCACTGTTGTTGTTTAATGACGAGTGAAAAAAATAAACATCAGAACGAATTTCGATAGTACGTTTTATTTTATTTTTTTTTTTATTCTTAAGCCTTTGTTGTTTCCTAAAGGAAAAGAATCGGAAAGTGAATGCGAGTTCAAGAGAAGGAGAAGCTAAAAACAAGAAATCTGAAGGAAGTTTGGGGAAGCGGGAAATAAAGTAGCTAACTAAAACTCCACCCCACGAGTACGTAATAATAAATAATTTAAATACCGCTTATAACGAAGACCAAAAAGTCAAGGAATAAAATAAGTAATTTAAGAACAATTTTTTTTTTTTTTTACAGATAAAAAATGAATGAAAAGATAATAAAGTTTAACTGTCACCCCAAAGGAAAGAAAAAGTGAAAGTAAAGGAAAGTAATACAATTTCTTCCATTATTGACTTATTCCGAAATTGTCGAGCAGCGATCACTACCGTGTAGTTAAAGCACCAAATAAGATCCGTAGTAGTCATAAGTAGATATTTATCCGTAGTAGTCCTAAGTAACTAGGGAAATCTCGCCAGTCTCTCTAATTGAGTCTCTGTGTAAACAGGGCGTGCATCCTCACGTGCAAGAAGAGGCTGCTTATCTACCAGGGTCGGTGAATGGATAAACAAACAACTTTCGCTTCCTTCGGCAACCGTTCTAAGTACATAAGATACTGATAACAACAGTCTACTTATCATTATGATTATTTTATCTTAATAAGAAATGGCTCGTTTTTTACGAGAATGAAGCATGAGGGAAGTGGGGGAAAACGAAGGCAAAGATGATGGATGTATTGTACTGTAGCTGATTTATTTGTGGATTGATTTTTCCACATTTTTTCCTCAATTCCAATCCGGTCTGTAAAAAAAAAGTGTCTTTCATGTGTGCATTGATAAATTTATTCGAGTATTGTATATAGACACCTTGCTAAAGAAAAAAAAAATAGCGGCACAAAATGAAATGCACAACTTTATTATTTTTATGCTTATTGAAAGTTCCGATGTCGTAGATTCAGATTTTTCGACAGTGAAATACTTAGGGGCCAGTGTCAGAAAGTTGACAGCAATAAGCTACAGATCGAATGGATGGATCTCTGGAGGGAAGGGATTTTCGGTGATTATTTAAGTAAAAAAGCTTCTTTTTTTTCTTTACCTTTTTAGTTTTTTAGCACATCTTGTTTCTCCATTATTCATTTTTTTTTATTTGTTCCTGACAGATTGCAGTTTATCGCATATTGTTTGTTTAACACATAAAGCAGGTAAATATTGTTCACAGTGTCACTATCCTGAGAGGAAGGCATGTCTTTTTGGTAAAAGAAAAGGTAGAATAGAAGATTGGCCTACTATAATCTGAACATTAATTCCTCTCTACAAGAAGTGTGTGGACTTTCGTTAAGCATGAACTTAAATCAAGCTGTTGACTGAATGATTATTTTTTATTTTCTTTTTAAAAAATCTTCTTTTTTTTTAATTCATATTTTTAAAGTCTTTTCTTTCATCCTTAGCAATCAATCCTAAATAATGGAATCTTTAGTTATGTTCTAAGGAGTTGGAGGACAGCATTTCAACCTCTTCTTGAAATTTATTTTAATTTTCTCTTATTTAATTAGTTGTTGAATAATATTCAACAACCAATTCTTGATTCTACTGTCAAGTTTTTAAATTTACACTTTACAGAAACCTAATGATGGATTTTGATTTCCGTGGTAAAAAAAGGTCTTTTGCCACGAATTGATTTCAATGTAGAATCTCTAATGTGGGGGTGGTTCACATACTTATGTTGCTTCTTCTTAATTGATGCATTTACTGCAACTTGGGCTGACCTGGCACCAGTCAAAACGGGGATGAATTTCGATCGTTATTCAACCGCTGAAATTAATTCATTCATAGACTTGTAAAATCACCAATACAGTTTATCTTTTCTTTCTTTAAGTAAGTTCATAAATGGTTTTTATTTACTTAAGCTTCGGCTTTCGATAATTTTCAATCAGAATTAATAAAAAATAAAAAAATAAAATCGAGCAGTGAAATGCCGATTACTTTCGCTTTCTTTTTTAGATAAGATATTGAAAATCAGAAATTGCCAAAAAAATTATTTTTCCAATTGTGCCAACATTATGCTTTCTTTAGTTTTACGATAAGGCATTCACGTGACTACGAATCCAATTTAAAATGCTTTTTACGTTTTTAGTTTTTGTTTTGTTTCCGTTTTTTTTTTCCTAAGGGGGAGGCTTGTGGTGAGAAGCATAACATTGTTGTATAATGTACACCAAGAGATTATCATTAATTTTTGTATTTTTCTTTACAATCATCAATTTTTTTTTTAATTCTACCACGTGGAAAAAGGCTGTGAAAATTCGTAGTGTAGTAATAATTCAAATAATAAAATAAAGTCTATGTTTTTCTGATATTTTCTAACACCCCTGAAAAAATAGATGCTAAAAAAAAATGCTCTCTAATCGATTAACTTTTAACATTTTCTTTTAAATAAATTTATAAATAGTCAAATTTATTCTTCATAAATAATTTAATCTATTTTTAGTTTTAAGTGTGATTTTTTTTTAAAAAAAATTGAAGTATTTTAATTTTTTGTAAGTTGGGTAGAAAAGCTAAACCTGTTAGCAGGATTTTTTTCCAGAAATGGATTTTGTTTGACCAATCCGATTTCTTGAATAAAATATGCACAAAATCTCGTGTTAAATTTAATAATAATATAACTCAAGAAATTGAGTGGGAGTTGTATTTCTACTTATAATTAGAAAATGCAAATAGTTTGTTCTCTTGAAAGTAACAAATGGTCCACATTAAGAAACTAAAAAGAAGAGTGGCCCTCTAAACAAATTTTGAGAAATTGAAAATTAGACGAAAAGTTCTTTTTGTTATCTGTAGGAGACAATATAAAAAGTTGAAAATAAAAGGTTTACAATCTTTGTCAATAAACAGATTTAGAAGAAGTGAAAAATACGTTGAAAATGATTATTCGATTTGTATTGATTACTGACCCCTGGGGGAAACTTAGGGGTTCCGAATGGGAGTAATAAATAAATAAATAAAAGATTTCTTTTTTTAAAATGCTCGCCCATGGAGTTTGTAACGAAGAAGGGTTTTAGTTCGGTCGGTGAAAGGTAGGCAGACATAATTAATTACTTGACTTAGACTACTTTTTACTTACCTATTCCGGCTCCAACAATAATTCGACCCCCGAGCAGCACATATTTATCAGGTGCCATGCCCATACAAAAAGCTCCGACAGTGAAGACGACACTAGCAATCATGATGGTGGGTCGCCTGCCGATGCGGTCATTAAGAAGACCCCCAACGATGGCGAAGACGGCTGCCCCGGCAATTGTGACACTGACCACAAGTTCTTGCCAAACTGAAGACAGCAAGAAGGTATTCCGGAGCAAAATCATCGCTCCAGAAATGACGCCGGTGTCGTAGCCAAAGAGAAAGCCGCCTAAAGCCGAAAAAAAGGTCAGAATATAAATAAATTGAGGGGTCCTTAACTTCGACGTGAGTGTGTCCAGTTTTAATCCGTAAAGTGTCTTCTCCTCATACTCGTCTGAGTTTTCGTAAAGTTTGTCCGGCCTTTGTCGATTCCCCTCGCCCATGGAGGAGCCCATCTTTGTCATTTCCATTGGGAATGGTTTTGGTTTTAAGGGGACCCGGAAAAGTAAAGGGCGATGGTTGCTTTTTGTGTTTGGGCTTTTGTTTAGTGCATAATAAATTTAAAATCCAGGGAATCACAGAGATGTCAAAGGGGATTCTACAAAATATTATCGACAATGAATGGAAGAAGACAGTTGAACACGACCGACCAGCTACAGCGCACTAGCGTCTTCTCCTGTCAGAAATGCAAGCAGCTGAGATACAGCAGTAGAAGTTGCAGTAGGATTTGCAGTTGTATTATTGGAAGCAAGTATTTATGATTGGCAATTGAAGATAAAGAAGAAGAAGAAAAATAAGGGTGTGTAGGTGTTGTCGTCGTGGGGTTGGCGGCAGTAGTTGTAAGAGAAAGAGGAGGTTACCGGTAGGGGTAAGGAAAGAAAGAGAAAGTCTACCTTAAAGATAAGGACTCGTGATGGAAAAAAAAAGAAAGAAAAAATGATAGAGACCAGAGGATAGAGGAAGGACAACAGTAGCCCTAGCCGCGTGTAGTAGTTGTTTAACGTTTGGAGCGAGAACAACAACAGTGCCGGTAGGGAAAAAGAAGAACGGAAAGTGACAGGAACAGATGAAAAAAAGAAAAAGCATTAAAAACAAAAAAAAAAAAGGAAAAATCGATGAGAAGGTGCAGTTTGGAGGTGGAAAGAAAAGCGCGCGCGAAATGAGTGAAAAAGAGAAAGCAATGAAAAAGACTAAAAAGAGACAATGATGAAAAGAGAAGTAAAGAAAAAAATGAATTCAGTTAAAAAAAGGAGAAAATAGATTAAAATTTGATGAATGAAAATAGAAAAACCGATTAAGACGTGGATTGAAAGAAAGAATGAATGAATGAATGAATGAATGAATGAAGTAGTAAAAAGAAAGACAATAAAGTTAATGAAGAAAAAGATATGAATGAATGAATGAATGAATATGAAAATGAACATCACAGACTATTTCGCGGGTGAAAAGTAGTTTTGTGTTGGATTGAGCAAATTAAAAGTAAAAAGAAAAGATTTTTTTTTAATGTCGGAAAAATATCTCATAATTTTTTTCTAATGAATGGAAACATCAAAATTATCATTTATGATTTAAATTTATGGAGGATAGTCTGAAAATAGTATCTCTAGCTAGGTAAAATAAATTTCGTGTTTTTTATGCAATCCATTTTTTTTCAAAGCCGATTTAAAAATAAGGTGGATTGCAAATTAATTTTTTTTAGGTTGTAGCCTGTTAGTGCTGTAATTCATGCTTCTTTTTTAATAATCTTTCAACCTTCCATCCAAGAAAAGAATCTCATGAAATATTTCTCCTCTAACTTTCTACACCTGGTTTTTAGTAGATTTGAAAACCACTTTCTTTTACTAATTAATTAATTATGCTGTAATAATTGTTATATATACGACGACACTTTACGAACTGCCGTTAGTACAGTGTCGTAACCTTAATTAAAACAACAGAAAAAAGTTTATAAGAGTCAAATTAAAAGTAGGAATAATTATCGAATAAATAAAAAGTGGCTGATAAAGTTATAAATGCGTACATTTTTTTTATTTTATTTTATTTATTTATTATTTATTTATTTATTTTTGGATTATATATGAGAACTAAAACTCGTGCCTGTCACCATAACTAATTTATTTAAATTTTGATGAATTTTATGCTCGTAAGAAAAAAATTAAATTCCTCAAAAACTGACATCATAATTAAAAAATATGTGAAGAGTGAAGAACGTTTTTTTTTTTTTTTTTTTGTTGATTTAAGATTTTTTTTCCTTTTAGTTTTATTAGTACATTAATAAAAAATATAATCAAAACATAAAATGAGTATTGGACGGACATGATTATTACAAGATTACACAAAGAATGCTTTGTTTGGGATGTTTAGTACCTGGCTGATGAAACTTGCTCCCTGGTGGATACTTATCGACGAAGTGGGAGATTCTGGAAACCGAAACAGCTTCTTTATTTATTCAATCACTATTAGCTTTTAGGGGCTTTTTATGTTTATCAGTCGAATAGCAGGTCAAAACATGTGAATTAAGCAAAGCTTTCTTGTTAAGGCGGAAAAAAGCTGAACTATATGATAATCATCAATCTTTAACATTTATAGATTTTTAAATTAATTGTTTTCCTAAACGGTAAAACTTTAACTCTTTCTTTCTCTTCTTATTCATCATACCTGAACCTGTCTGTTAGTGTTATCTACTCCACAAAAAGCAGACGAATACATTTAAAATGCTAGGTTTGTACAAATTTTTATTGCTTTTCTTACTTTTTTTAGTTTAAGTATGAGCATTTTTCTTTCTTTAATCTCCCACTTCTTAACTTTAAATATAATTTATTTATATTATCGTCCATTCAAATCAACAGTACACCTACTTTCTTTTTCTCTCACGCACATGATACACCTACGCGATAGTTTTACTGTTTTTATTTATTTATCGATTATTTGGGTGTTTTTATGCGAAATCCTTCGACACTTATATTTTGTTACTAATTTCAATATTAGCTGATGAACAAATAAATAAACGTTCTTTCGGGCTTCCGCTTACACCTTTTTGCTTTTTTTTTTTTTTTTTTTTTTCATACAAAGACAGCAGGCGCCGTCGTAAAGTGGTTAGGTTACAGTACACCGTTACAGGTTAAGTGACAAAGTCACTTTTATTCTCACAAGCCACTTGTAATGGAATGTGTTCGATCCCCATCTGGTGCTCTACTATATTGTGCAATATGCCAGACTAAGTAATAGCCTATCTCACTCTGCGGGGATTCATTCCTCACTGGGTGACCCACACGTAACCCTGTGCCAAACCTAACTAAGCTTCTTTTATGTCTATCATGCATGTGGCTCAATAACTGAGAACTGCGAGGGCTACCAGTTAAATAACTAATAATTTATTATTTAATAATGTATTTAAAAAATCCTTGGAACTTGACTGCTTGAGACTTGGAGAGTTAATATTTTCTATGACCTCACCTCACATACACACACGATCTCACTTCTTTTTGGAACTTCTGGTCATCTTTACTTTAAGGAACGCTTATGAATAACTTTTTGGAGAGCATACGTAGTTACTTGCTACGAGAAATCAATGAAACTTTACTTTAAACATTTAATTACCCGTTATGTACGAATGTGGTGTACATGACATCGTATGTGTACTGTAGTGCAGTATATGCAGTACATATATTATTATTAGATTATTATACATACATACATACAGTTCACAAATCAATGCGCAGTTTTGTATATTCGTTAGGTTAAAGATTTGTAGCATACACACCTTTATGCATTTGCATTTTACGCACCTCTGCGTTTGTGTTTACCCCCACGCATTGCAACTTCCCCTCTGCCACATCCGCCTATGGTACTCCGATGACTACCGCCCCCGCAAAACACTGACACATGATGATAACGATGGGAGGGGAACGACACTCCTCCCTGTATCTTCGATTGGAAAACTACTGTGCTGTGGAAGACAACACCATACACACTCACTCACACACCTCGACATGCAATAATATATATATATATATATATATATATAGAGAGAGAGAGAGAGAGAGATGTGTACACCTGTAATGACAGGTTGGTAATGAGCGACATCATTGATCCCATAATAAGATAACATATTGTGTAGTGAGTGTATAAATAAGTAATCGAATTTGAAACGACGAAAAATTACAAGTGGACAAAATGCAATTCTAGCAAAAAAAAAACATTATGATTTTAAAAAGTCAATAATTATTTTTGCTTGAAATACCCATTTTAGATTTGAAACAGATACGAAAAATGATTCTACATTACAAACTGTAATTACAATTACAAATATAAGTAAGTTAAGTAGTATTTCAAACAAAAGGTTTACAATTTTATTGCAATAGCTGTCTTTGCACATACATGTGTGTGTGTCTCCGTCCGTCTGTTTGCATATTCATTTTTACAGGATAACGAATTACCTTAAAATCAAATACAGTACTAACAACGGCATGTGAGATAAACGTTTCACGAATTTAATTTATGTATATACACACATAAAAGCCCTTTACATTGATCATGTCTACGTCTATTCGCCAGGATTCTTCTCCCATAAAGTATTTGCGTGGGTGGATGTTAAAGTAGGCGACGTTTACATTGATATTTGATCCAAATGGACCCGCATTCGAACTACTACACCGCCTTAGTTAAAGTTAGTTAACCGAAACAAACAATAGCTTGTGTTTAATTGTCTGACAAAGGGGGGGAGAGGTCGTGTTACTGTTAGTTAAATGGCGAGGGACTAGCTTTGAAATCAGCTTTAACATCAATGACTAGCTTTGGTTAGTGGGAAAACGGAACTACTTTTCAATCATTAAAGCTAACAAAATAACTTTGGTTAATTTGGTCTCTTTGAAGGTTGCCTCTTAGCCTGAAATGGTAACAGTGATTGGCGTAGTTGAGCTCAGGCAAGTAAAGTCAGAATTCTGCTTATTAATTTATATTTAATAACCTTGTGTTCTAATTCTAGCCAAAGCTGTGGCATTCATTTTCGCACTGATGACCTCGGAAAAGTCACGAATCCCTCTCTCCTGTACCTATGAGTAAGTAGTAGGGTAGACTGCGCTCTTTAGCCTTGGTAAGACAACCAGTCTAGTAGAAGGACAATTCTGAATTCAGGAAACGACTCGACTATCTCAATTCGCTGATATTAAATTATAATGGAAATTGTTAAAGCGATAAAAAGAGAAAACAAGAAGAAAAATATCAAAAAATAACATTACCTGGTAAGGATTACCATACAGTGGTAATATTACCATAATGATTGCCATACAGTGCTAATATCGGAATGCAACCCCCCCCCCCCAGATAAACCGGTTTATCGGCCCTTTCTCATCAGAGCTCAATCTGTGGAAGCTACAGAGAGCAATGACAACTTACGTCCTCACGGGATATATATCACCTCAAACGTTAGATTCTAGTGGACACTTGTTATTTGAAAAAGACATCCAAT